CGCTGCGGCTTGGAAATGTTCGTGTAACTCATCGGAAATCACGGAGGAATACGTCATGCTAATCGTAAGTCTTGACACCCTGCAGCATAAAAGTGGGAGGTGTGTTGTTGTATCCAACAGTGGACTACTGCACTCTGTACACAAAATGCTACTTGGACAGAGTGTGAATCTTTATCAAAATCAGTGATAATGCCAATAGTTCCATTGCAAATACCTTTTTCTATGAGATAATTATTTAAGAACATTACGCGAGATCAAACCTTGTTGAATGCGTATGGTCAGTGGCAAGTTGGTTTTTAATTTGAATAATGACTGTAGTTTCAGAGGTTTATTTGATGCCATTCAAAAAGTCTAGAGCATCAGATATCATAAATTGTCGCGTTGCTCTGCAGTTTGTTTATATGGAACTATATTTGTGGTTGTTCCAATGTAAAACGGGGGTTGCCTTTGGAGAAGTTTGTTCCGCGTATCATCAGAAATATTGCCTCTTGTAATATGTGTAGAAATTCTCATCTGATTGTTGCTATACGGGAGAGTGAAAGACAGGTTCGCCACGTACTGGAGGTAGTTGAGCTAAATCGCCGACGATAATTATTAATACCACCGAATGCTAGGTCGTTGTTGTGAATGGTTGGATATGAATGTGAAGAATGATGCGGATACCATTGAAGCCATCGATCATTAATATATTGATTTTAGCAAGCTGTTGCTTAAATGCGTTATCATAAAATGCTAACTTTTTTGGGAAAATAGGAGTAGTGAGCTGATTAATTATAAAGTTGTTAAATTGTACTTCGAATAATTGATTGTAGGTTGCACGAGAATTAGGGTTGAGATGGAGATAGTGGTCGCGGTATGTTGGAAAATTGGCGAGTAATTCATTTTCAGTTCGGCATGGTATTGTGCGGAGTAGCTGTTGATAGAAAACCATTTTCCATCTCGATATTTCAAGTATCGAAATCTCGGGATTAACAATGGTGTTATTTAATCTGTTGTTGTGTGGTTGGTGGAGGTAGTGGTAGTAGTTTGTTTGGTTGGATGGGTTATTACGACTTCGTTTATAGGTCTTTCTCCTTTCCTTAGATATTCCGTTACACTTACAGTCCCATTGTTGTTGCAGACGGAGAATTAATCGTTTTGCCTATAAATCGCGCTATGAGAGGTGATGCAGGACAATGTTCCATTCCGATCGTTAGATGAACATGAGACATAATTATCATATCAAAGGAGTCGTCATTCATCAGATACGAAAGTTTCCCGTGTAATTAACTTCCGTGATATTAAACCGTGAACATACTTTACTTTTCGTGTAAAACTGCTTGTCGTGTGTCGTATAAATCAATAACAAAGTTGTCACCAACAACTGTATCGGGTACTACTGCAGCATAACTTTTGGCGTTCGGAGCTTCATCAATAATGGGAGGGTCCCAGAAAGCATTCGAGACAGGAATGGTTACTTTAACCGCATCAAGATTCGGCCAGTAGGAGTAGATGTATTATGATGTATTGTTCCGCATTCCCACTATTTTTTTGCAAAATTTACTTCAACCCAACCCTGATCCGATTATAAAAATACAACAGTAGATCAATCTTACCTCTTTACACGATTTTTCTTTAAGGCTGCGTTTGAGAATAAACGCTACCTGGCAGTGCTTCGACGCACCCACAATCTAGCCTAGCATAAAGTAAAAATATTCTTAAAGTCGAAACGTCGGAAATAAACAAGTACTAAACATAAGGACATACGATTATCGATTGATGAACAGTTGTCTTTACAATTGTTTTAGGATAAATTTTAATCCCAAACACACAACGAACGTATTTCTCGCGCATCCACGTTTCGCATCTTGTATTCCATCTGAGCATTACCCACTTCACAAATAATTCTAGCGTGAGCATTTCCCTGTGTAATGTGTGTAGTTAGAAAATCGCTTAAAATATTAATGTCATAATAAAATATTACAACGTACTCTTTTGTCACTGCGAGGAAAGCCAGGATACGAAATTGCTGGCTGAACAAGATTATTGTTTGGTTGAACTGCAATGTCTGGCGTTATTTGTCCCTGGATTGTAGTGAACTATTGGAAGAGAATTTGAGTTGCTATTACAAGCCAAAAAACAACAACAAAACAAGCAATTCTCTTACATGGTTGATGAAAAACCCTTATCGGACCGCGTATCACACCGTTATTTGGCCTACGAAAGCATTGGGAAAGCACCTCTACAACAGCTTCATGTTCTGCATTTGCCATTTCAACTATGTATACTTTTTTGTCATTCAAATAAAATTTGTATCCACATGCCTCGTTGCGATCGAGGAAAGTCTTATACTCTTTCACCGAAATCTTCTTCCCGATCTGAAAGGGTAAACTGAAAACCATACAAGTCAACAATGAATAGCTCTTAAAGAAAATGCATAATCGCTTACTTTTCTTCTGTTAAAGGAAAATTTGGAAATTCAGGATATTTATGGAGTAGGTTATCCCAAACTTCGTTCACTTTGTTTACCCAACGAGGGATTGAAGCAGACATTCGGGGCATTCTGGAGTATCAATTTTTGCCAGAGGCTTAAATTATGATCAATTTGCTACTATCTTAATTTATAATCAGATCTGTGTAACAACAAATTGCGACTAGGAGAGTGAGGAAAGAATAATCTACGCGTTTTGAATGCGTCGTGAATTTAAATAGGGGAATCGGCATGAGTTTATGCAGCTGTGGGACCCTTGAATTTTGATGCAATTAAGCATATTCACGTTCAAGAAGAACAACCGTCACAATGACCCAAAGACATCCTGGCAAAAATCGCAACCATAGAATATTAAAGAGACTCTATTATATACACTAGTAACTGCCAATACGCAGACAGGCAATCGTATTTGTTGTTCTGGATATGACGATGAATAGAAAAAGATTCTCAAGTGCACTGAAGCAAACGGACATGTAATTCAGAAATACTGTGGATATCCGTGTTTATTTTCGATTTCAGAATAATCTAGCTTTTCTTCATCCGCTATATATATCACTTGAGTAATTTCTTCGTCGTAGAGACAATCTCGTATCGGCTTTGAGAGCGACAATATTTAATCGCTGTTGGAATACCGATAAATATAATTCCAAAGACTGTAGTGAGTCCCATCAAAGTTATAACAATGCGCGTAAAGCGAGAGGTGGATCGCCACCACTGGCGAATACGGCTGGCCTTGTTCTTCGTTGACGGTTGGCTAAGATGTTCAAGATTATTGATTAGCATGTTTGACAATATTGTATATACCATGTTTGCTTTCTAAAAAGATTATTGACAACTTACGTTCTGAACTTTCAATGGTACCGATTTGAGAATCGGTGACCTCTCCCTCTTCAACGGACAAAAACTTCAGTGCCTTCGTCGTCATCATCCAAGACATTGTGCACCTTGACCTCCATTATCTTCTCAACGGCCTCGGTCTGAATAACATCAGTTCCGTCGACTTCAATGATTCTGACACTGATTGTAATGCGGTACACGTCAATATTCATTGCATCATTCTTAGGCATAGCCTCAACTACGGTCGAGACTTCGACAGTAAGAAGTCCAATGTCGAAGGACTTTTCGATGTCCTCGATTTTCTTACCGCCGCCAGTTGCGATTTCGGCCTGAATTATTTCCAGACTTGTCGAGTTGAGATTGACAGGAATGTTGTTTATGAGAAGTTTGTCATCTTGTATGTCGAAATGCATCATAACAGCTATGACACGTTCGCCAAGACGTGAGCCGTCATCATCAAAAAGGTCGCCGTCACGATTAACGGTGACAACAAAGTGTTCAGAGAATGGCGAGAGCTCGCTCTCAATGTCCACGGTAGTTGTTGAAATGCCCTTGAGTGGGATTGCTATATAGTTGGCAGCGAGTTGGCAGGTGGAGAGAGGTTTGGTTTGTTAGTCTCATTGGTATCAAAGGTTTACTTATTATATATGCTATACAATACGATTTTATACTGAGGCATATATTTCCAATCAGTGTCAACTGTGAAAAGGTGCCCTATAAAACAAGACTTACTGAAAAGACATGCCAGCACTAGAAAAATACTATAGGAGATAGTCTTTGACATTTTGACAGTATAGAGGATGAGTATTGGCACTCCTTAAGGATATGGGAAAGTCGTCGGAATTCCAACAGCATCCATTGGGAAACATGCAATTGGTTGGTTTTTTTGAAGAAAAACCTGCTGACAACAGGTAATCCTTTTTAACCAGAGGGTATGGATCGTTCAGCCACTCGTAGTTAAGAAATCATGCCAAGTGTGCGAAATTGGATAATAGTTTTCTTTGAATTTATAGTCACACACATTGTTGTTATGCAATATGCTAACAACAGTAATCTTTTGTCTTGTCTTATTTGGATCAAAAATAGATGTGGAGATGAACTATATTGCGTATGATCTGCGCGCTATCCGTGAAGGCAGGATTTGTGCATTGTGATCTTCATGCCGGAAACATTTTTCTGGAATATGACGATGACGAGTCGTTTTAACGAATAGTCCGCATTAACAAAGTCGAGCGATGGAACGGAGCACTTTGTTAGACCTGACTTTACTGTGTATATTAAAAATTTTCGATATAGTGAAGAAAAATCCCCGTCAGATCGATTATATAGAGGTTAAACTGTATAATGATGAATTATGCTCTTCATTACATCGGGATTGTTTTCTTAAGCTTGGTTCTATATAAATGCACAACAACATTGAGCATTGTTGTAAAGTTATACATAGGCAAACTCGATAAGTCGGACTCGTCGGGGCGGACTCCTGTGTCCAACTTAACGAGGTATCCGACTTAACGAGATATCCGACTTTATAATAGATAATCCAATTTTTATAAAAAGTCTCTAAGGTAGGCTGTTTTAGAGAAGCGATTCGCTTTCTTTGAATTTGACACTGAAGTCTTTCATTCCCGAAATTACCGATGCATTTGTTTTTTCTACGTTCATAATTGCAGTTTGGTTGTAAATTGGAATGCGTTTTGAAAGCAATTGACTATGTCAACCTTTTTATTGTCTTTCCGAACGATTAAGACAATTGTATAATGTATTACAAATGATATATATTAAGATAATAAAATGCTAAAGACGTAATTATTTTGTTACGTTACTAAAATAGTAAAGATTACCCGTAAAAAATCACGTGGTCCGACTTATCGAGAGTCATTTGTTATAATCTGGTCGACAGGATTGCGAGTTACGACTTATCGCGATTTTATATATGTCGTCCGACTTATCGAAATTTTTTAACTATTCAAAAAAGGGGCCGA